AAGTGGCCCACCCTGTCCAATGTCCCATCTCCAGCTGTGGCAAATCTCTGATGCTTCAGAGGAAGGTGAAAAAACACCAAAGCACAATCCACAATACATCTGGTCAATTGTTCTTTGGGGGAAAAAGATTCCTTCCTGATCCCTGCAGAATGCTGGCTGTAGCCCTGAAGCATGAGATTTAATTGCAGCTCTGCATTAAGACAATGGAGGTAAGTTTTATGAGCAAATTGAGGGAAAAGCACCCAAGACCCACCTAGCAGGATCAACAACCTACAACGGGTGCCAGGACCAGGTAACAGAGTAACAGCCATGTTAGTCTGTATTCGCAAAAAGAAATCGGGGGGTGCATCCGATGAAGTGAGCTGTAGCTCACGAAAGCTCATGCTCAAATAAATTGGTTAGTCTCTAAAGTGCCACAAGTACTCCTTTTCTTTTTGCGAGGACCAGGTAAGAGTGCAGTATCACACCCTGCCCACTGGAGACACTCACAAGAGGTGAAGTGTCCCCTGTCACAAGGACACTTCAAAGGGGCTTGGGGAATGGGATGTAACTATATCGTTAACCTGCAAAGAAAACTAAGGGCTGGTAGAGTCCAGAGGAGATGTTTTTGGTGGGTGAAAGGCTGGTGGTGTTAGGTTGCTGACACCCAGTTAAATCTCCCTCTTACTGCAGGCAGGTACCTAACAAGGTGACTCTCAGTCCTGGGTACCCTTGGAACCATCACTATTAGGCCATTCAAATGCTTGTTTCCTACCACTTCCTTCAATTATAGGCCTGTTAAATTCATACTCTGAAATTTGCTAAACAACAAAGTGACAATGAGATTAGAAACACAGACACAATGACAGAAAATTCACCTTGTTAGTAAATTTGGGGGGAAATAGCTGAAACAGATTCAGTTGGAGGTGGACATGTGGAAAGCAGTAATGTTGAAAAAACTACGTCTGATGGTTGGCAGCAGAAAGGGCCATTGGAATATTTTCCTGCATATATAGAGGAATATATCTCATGGAGTAGAGAGAGAACAATTTTATCTAAAAATATTACACTTAATTCTTGACACATGAATACAGTAAATATATTGACAAACTGAAGAATCCACAGAAAAGCAACAAGGAAGGACTGATTGATGAGGAAAGATTAAAGTGCTATATATGTATAGTGTGACTAAGAGACAATTATGCTGAAATTGTAAGTGCCCAATGTAAGTGTAAGTGGCCAATCCTGTCTCAGTGGAGTACCTGGGAATACAACTGGACCCTAATTGTATAATGGGTAAAAACATCATGAGAAGAGAGGAATTATTTAAGGTAGTCCAAAGGATGTATAGCTGGAAGTAAAGGGATGTAATTAAGAAAGGGAAAATAAAATCTGCATATTAGGAAAAATTATTCTTGAGAATTAGATCTGCTAGAGTGTAAAATAGTCTCCCAAGGGAAGAGGTGGAAGTGTGTGACATATTTAAAACTAAATTGCATAAATCACTAGAAAATACATTGTATGGAACAATCTTGCATTGACAGAGGGACAGGGGGACCAAAAATTGCATAAACTCTGTTTCTATGAAAAATATATTTTAACAATAAAGAAGAAATGGAGGGCAACCCTAGTTTAATATCCCACTTGTGATGTTTTGAATGTGGTGGTACCCTACCAATGCCAAGAAGTCCTATTTATTGACATTCTGTTATCGTCGAGTTCAAGTTAAAATACGTAGGGGCCCACTCCTACAGTCCTTGTGCAGGAAAAATGTCTCAGTGTATTGCAGGATCAAACCAGATCGTGAAACTCTGCTCCGCCCATAATGAATATCTTGGACCAGATCATCACTGACTTCAGTAGAGCTGTGCTGATTTACACCAGCTGAAGATTCTGGCTCTTTTGTATTACCCGTGGACTAAACAGACTGCAAAGAATACCATTATCCTGCAACTAGAAAAGGAGTACTTGTGGCACCTTAGAGACTAACCAATTTATTCGAGCATAAGCTTTCGTGAGCTACAGCTCACTTCATTGGATGCATACTGTGGAAACTGCAGAAGACATTATATACACAAAGACCATGAAACAATACCTCCTCCCACCCCACTCTCCTGCTGGTAATAGCTTATCTAAAGTGATCACTCTCCTTACAATGTGTATGAAAATCAAGGTGGGCCATTTCCAGCACAAATCCAGGTTTTCTCACCCCCCACCCCCATACACACACAAACTCACTCTCCTGCTGGTAATAGTTCATCCAAAGTGACCACTCTCCCTACAATGTGCATGATAATCAAGGTGGGCCATTTCCAGCACAAATCCAGGTTTTCTCACCCCCCCCCCCCACACACACAAACTCACTCTCCTGCTGGTAATAGCTCATCCAAACTGACCACTCTCCTTACAATGTGTATGATAACCAAGGTGGGCCATTTCCAGCATAAATCCAAGTTTAACCAGAACGTCTGGGTTGGGGGGGGGGTAGGAAAAAACAAGGGTGTGTGTGAGAAAACCTGGATTTGTGCTGGAAATGGCACAACTTGATTAACATACACATTGTAAGGAGAGTGATCACTTTAGATAAGCTATTACCAGCAGGACAGTGGGGTGGGAGGAGATATTGTTTCATGGTCTCTGTGTATATAATGTCTTCTGCTGTTTCCACAGTATGCATCCGATGAAGTGAGCTGTAGCTCACGAAAGCTTATGCTCAAATAAATTGGTTAGTCTCTAAGGTGCCACAAGTACTCCTTTTCTTTTTGCAAATACAGACTAACACGGCTGTTACTCTGAAACCTGTCATTATCCTGCAACTGTTACTCAGTTTCCAATTCTCTGGTAAGCACATGGCAGAGCAGTACTAATGCAGAAATATGTCTAAAGAAATTGGTAAGGAATTACTTCATTTTTTTCCTGCACATTCTCTTTCATTTTGAGATCAAATGACACTAGAAAGGGGTATAAACATTTAAAAGAGAGAGAAAACAGTTCAGGTTCCACAGATCCATACATAGAGGGAGTGCTCTGTGCCCAGATCTGCCCATGCCAATGTGGAAGGGAGATGAGTTGCCTTTGAGGTAATCTGGGCCCCCTTGGAGAGTTCTGTACCGGGAAGTGATGGGAATCTTCAGGCAGGAAGGGCTTTTGGTTTAAGAATTGGGCTTCTAAGGGATTTCACAACTACCCCAAAATCTCAGAATTTTTAATGGTGATGTGGCTGGAAGTGGTATGAGTTGAAAGTCCAAATGCATTGCAACCTGGAATTTTCACTGAAATAGACTAAAGCAGCAAGAGAGAGGGGTCCTGTCCAGATAGGCCCAAAGGGGACAGTTTTCATTATAGTGTAGATTCCTTTTGAGAAAGCAGTGGTTTTATTTTCCTGATATAAAAATGTATTTGACATGCCAACTATTTTTCAAAAGGCAAAGGGAAAGCTAAGCATAATGATGGGGTGGCTCAAGAGGAAAATCTCAGGCTTTACAATTGCCAATTGTAGGTAGTCATGAGACGGGGTCAGGTCACGCTGAATATACAAAATCGCACCACCAACTCCTGTGGGATTCTTCAGAGAAATTGATATACAAGGGGAGCATCTACTAGAACACATTCCAGGACTATGTAGAGGTAGAGGGAGTAAATCCTGGCAGTATAACTCCCATATCTTTGTCAAACTCTTAATTTTGAAAATTACTTTTTCTAAATTCCCCCTATTTCAGATTAATACTATCTTTAGCCCCATTCCTGCAAACATTTATGCACATGTGAAGTAAGCTTTTTCAAGATCAGGGCATTTGTCATTAAAATTTGACAAATTTTTTTTGCTGTTAAGTGGATGTAGCATTCCAGTCCAGATTTGGCTGCATTTCAGTGGTGGATAAAGTGATTTGTACATATTTAATACCTACCCTTCTACTTAGAGGATGGGATCCACAAAAGGACGTACGCATTGCAATATTGAGTGTCAAAGTACCTAGCTTTTAAGTGCCTAGAAAATCACAGGAAGCCCTGCCCCCTAGGTGCCTAGCTCTGCCAGCGGTCCATGAAGATGTGTTCAGCTGCATCAGTCTCATGTAGGGCCTGAAAGAAAGCAGCTCCCTTATAACTTTCAGCCTGGTGGATACAGTTCTCACACAGCATGTAAGGGGTGAAGGAATTTGAAGAGGGACCTGCCACTTCTAAGGTGAAGGGCCTGATGTGGTAGCTATGCTCAGAGGGCAGCTACTGGATTAGGGCCCCACATGTGGGCAATTTGTGAATTGCTCCAGGACTTGGGTGGCAGGCAGCTGCATATGAGGAGGCAGTAGAATGTCTGATCGAGCAGGAGCCGGTGCCCAGGCACTTAGAGCCCAGAAGCAAAAAATTTAGGTGCCTGCCTGGTTGGGTGGCTGCTGAGCTGAGTTTTGTGGTGTACCCTGGTGCCTAAAAACAGGACTTTGGTCTCTAGGTACCTTTGTGGATTCCACCCAAGGTGACTGCAGTACTTGAGGACCCAGTTACATCTCAGGCATCACATACGTGTCAGATCACTGCTGGGTATAATATCATGGATTTTAAGGCTTGACGAGATCATTATGGTCATTTAATTGGACCTCCCGCATAACACAGGGAAGAGAGTTTCATCAAGCCTCAGCAGCTGTTCCAAGGGCTAATTCCTGTCACAGTGGGGAAAAACTTTCCACGGGGTTTCCGGTCTGGTTCCAGCCCCTGGTTCTAGTTCTGTCTGGGCTCGGGTAATGAGCCCCCTGCACCCTCGTCGCCCAGCGGGGCTGGCAACGATGCTGAGCCCTTCTCGTGTCTGGTCCCGCTCAGTCACGCCCCAGCCTCCGTCCCCACTAACCCAGCCCCGCCGTGACAGAGCGACCTGCCCCTGCGCGCATGGGGACGGGGGGGCTGCCGCTGGCACGGGTCAGTGCCCACCCGGGAGGCACCACGGCTGCAAGGAGGCAGCGCGGGGGGGGGGGGGCGGAAGAGAGGGGAGCTGCGGGAGAAGGGGATTGGCTGGCGGGAGGTAGGGCGGCAGGAGACGTTGCGCAGGGTCAAAGCGTCCCCGTTGCCATGGAACCCGCTGCGGGCGGTGATTGGCGGAGCGGGCGGTGCCCCGGGGGCCCATGGGAGCGCGGAGCCGACGCTGCGAGTTTCAAAGCGGCAACTAGGTAGAGCGGCCCTGTCCTCGCCTCGCGACTATGGCGGGGCTCGGGGAGGGCGCTGATGGGACTGGAGGCAGGAATATGGGCTGGGGGGTGGTTTGAGAGGCCGGGGATGGCGAAGGCCTGTGGGTTGGAAGCTGGGGGCGGGGCAGAGGGGTTGGAAGCTGGGGGCGGGCCTAGAAGGGGGGGACTGGGTATGGGGACTAGGGGGTGGTGGCCTCGGGTTGGAAGCTGGGGGTGGGGGGGCCTGTGGGTTGGAAGCTGGGGAAAGGGGGTGAGGTCTGGGAGGGGTGGCCTGTGGGTTGGAAGCTGGGGGCGGGGGCCTGTGGCTTGGCAGAGTAGGAGATGAGGATGGCAGGGCTGAGGATTTTGGCTAATGGAGGGGGTGTAGCTTGAGGGTAAGATGCATTGGTGAGAGACCTATGAAAGGGTACTGCCCTTATCCTATTAATTTCTCCTGACAGGTACTTACTGCCTCCATGCTCAGTGCTCGGCCCAGGAGTAGGGTGGCCTGCTCCACCCCTTCGTCCCCAACCACCTCTGAGGATGAGCAGCCTTTGAGCTCCTCCACTTATTCCTTGCTCTCCCCCATTTACCATCAGAGCTTCCAGAGCTGCAATGAGGAGGAAGAGGAGGAGGATAGGGAGGACGCTGCACCGTCAGCTAGGGGGAAAAGAACCTTCAAGAGGAATAAACACAATAGGTAATCTTCATGCACTCCCATTCCCTGGCTGTCTTTGCTAAAATAGAAGGGCCCAGTAGGTAGTTAGACAGCTAAATGCTTATGTGGTCACCTAATGAAGGCAATCTAACTTTGAGTTAGTGAGGAGTTATAATTTCCATTTTGTTCAGGTCAGTGGGAGTCTCGGGTCCTCGGTTTTTCATCTCTGAATATCAGATCACTACTGTAGGTGCCTAGACAATGGATTTGGGACTGAAAACATCCAAGATTTGAAAATGTTATTTATGTCTAAGTGCCTCAGTTTCCTCCCCTATTAAAAGGGAACGATAATACTTGCCTACTTTTCAAATGTGCGTTGAGGGTTAGAAGTTATTTTCTCTCAAATACATAAAATTACTTCCAACACAGGGATTTGAGGTGTATTAATTGTACCAGCGTTGGCTTCTAGGGTTTTGGACTTCCCATTTCTCATTCTTTAATTGCTCCCTTTCTTCAAATAATTCTTCCCTCCCCCTCTGTTTTTCTTTCCTCTCCCCACTCCAATGGTTGGGAACAGGGTTGTGTTGAATAATCTGATGCATTCCTCAAAAGGTGGCTGACAAGACCTAGCAGCCAGGACACTTTCCAATGAAAAGCATACCATATCTACACCTTGGCTAAGAATAGGCACAGTTAGCGAGACACTAGTCAAAATGTGTGTGCTAGACAGCATGGTTCTGTAAAATTTGGGACTCTCTTTCAAATAAATGAGTCTCTTCAGCTCTTATGCATGGGTCTCAAAAGCTTGCTTGGATACCAATAAGCATTTCCACTTGAGAGATGAAAATATAAAGTACTTGGCAAGGAAGCATTACACATCTCATTATTATGAATTTCTGCATAGAACTTTCATCCTGCTTTATCTATAAGATGATGACTCCAGGAAAACTTCTCCAGGTTCGAGAGGACTGAGCCAAAAAGAATGGTAAACGTAGCACTTTACTTGATAAAGCTTGGCCCAGTCCCCCTTCCAGGCATCTGTAGAGCCCTGAGGGAAATTGTCAGGTCCCTGTTTCACTTTACTCCTGTCCTTGTTCCTCTTTTCACTACCCACCCACCAGCTTGTCCAAGCACTCTGTTCCTCAGCCTTCATGGCAAGCTACTGTCTCTTCCTCCATGCTGCCTGAACACCAGCTGGGGGAATACTGAGAGCGCAAAAGAAACCGTTCTATAGGTCTCAGTTCTGATGCTCCATTACTACAGCAATCCCTGGTAGCTGTGAATGCCGATGCAGAAAAAGTCCTTGTAACCACATTGTCTGAGCAGCACCCTTTTGTGGCTGGTCAGAGCATGACTCACCCGACTGTGGGTCCCTGTGTGTCACCCCTTGCAGATTATGGAGCTTGGTGCCCCTTAGCTCTCTGGCTGTGGCATGCTCTTGCCCCTTCTAGGGTGTCAGAGTCCAAAAACTTAAGAACCCCTAAGCTTCAGAATCAGTGTCATCTGTAGGTTTCTTGAAAGGACTCTTGCTTGTCTGCTTCAGACCTTGTTTCTGGGCATCTGTCAAGGTTCCTTCCCCACTCTGAACTCTAAGGTACAAATGTGGGGACCTGCATGAAAAAACCCCTAGGTTTATTTTTACCAGCTTAGGTTAAAACTTCCCCAAGGTACAAACTATTTTACCTTTTGTCCCTGGACCTTATTGCTGCCACCACCAAGTGTCTAACAAAAATAACAGGGAAAAAGCCTACTTGGAAACGTCTTTCCCCCAAAATCCCCCCAAGCCCTACACCCCCTTTCCTGGGGAAGGCTTGATAAAAATCTTCACCAATTTGTACAGGTGAACACAGACCCAAACCCTTGGATCTTAAGAACAATGAAAAAGCAATCAGGTTCTTAAAAGAAGAATTTTAATCAAAGAAAAAGTAAAAGAATCACCTCTGTAAGATCAGGATGGTAAATACCTTACAGGGTAATCAGATTCAAAACACAGAGAATCCCTGTAGGCAAAACCTTAAGTTACAAAAAGACACAAAAACAGGAATATACATTCCATTCAGCACAATTTATTTTATCAGCCATTTAAACAAAACAGAATCTAACGCATATCTAACTAGATTGCTTATTAACGCTTTACAGGAGTTCTGACCTGCATTCCTGCTCTGTTCCCGGCAAAAGCAACACACAGACAGAGAGAACTCTTTGTTCCCTTCCCCCCCCCTCCAGCTTTGAAGATATCTTGTCTCCTCATTGGTCATTTTGGTCAGGTGCCAGTGAGGTTATCTTAGCTTCTTAACCTTTTACAGGTGAAAGGGTTTTTCCTCTGGCCAGGAGGGATTTAAAGGTGTTTACCCTTCCCTTTATATTTATGACAGCATCTAATCCCTTTTGATTGGTCTTCCTGATCTTAGTCATCCTAATCCACCAAATGGTTCACCCAGGAAGCAAGCTGCCTTAGGCTCTTGGCTGGACCCAGGCTTCCCTTGTCAAAGAAGTAGCATAGTTCTTCTCTCCTTCCTGGTCAGCCCTGGAGTGGCCTAGCTCTCCCTCTTTTAGTTCCCCTTTCCATGCCTGATAGCTGCAAATATAGCAGGGTGGGGTCAGCTGGATCCACAAGCTTCTTTAACCCTCTTATTGCCACAAAGGGTCTGTCTGTGTCCTCAACCTCTGCTTGTTAGTGTGGGGCAGAGACATCCCATCAGAGTCCCTGCTCAGTCCCATTCTGGAATATGCTTGGTTAGCTCCCTGGGGATAGAGTATACTCGCTACTGACAGAACTTTTGGATAATTTTGCTGTCAAACTCTAACATACCTCTACTGAGCATGTATATATGACAATTTTCAGACACTTACAACTCCACGAAATTTGGGTGTATTATTACAGGAACTGCAAAAGGCACCTCTTTAGCCTCCTGCCAACTTGGCCAAATTTCAGATCTCTGATCCAAAGCATGGTGGTTCTGGAACTTCTGAATGAAACGTTTAAGAATCTTTAAACATTGGTAAAACAATGTATTTTTCTCTAATCTCAATTTCTTTAACAGGTGAATCTTTGTTTTGAATTTTTTTTTAAAAAAAGGGGGGGAGACATTCATCATTGGATATTTCAGCTGAAACAATTAAAGCTTGGCAAAGTTTTATAAACAACTGAAAATGGTCTTATAATGGAAAATGTTAGGCAACCTTAGTTATAGGTTTTACTGCTAGCTCCACCTATGATCCTGGGCCACTTACACTCTGCATGCATCTTGATAGATTTACTCTGATATACTGACTTAGTGAATGTACTGTTATAGAAAGCTTAGTGACTTTTATTTAATCAAATTTCAGTTCTTCTGTCTCAATACATATAACTTGAGTTAGGGAATTAATCTAATACAAATTTTGGAAATTCAGTCTATGGTCCATGGACGCCAACCATAGAATTCTTACACTGAAAACTGGCTGAATAGAATTCAACTATAAAAGTTGCACATGCCCAGCATGGCATTTGATGCAGTGTGAGAAAAGGCGCTAAACTATGGACTTTTATAGTAACGACAACATTTCCAGGTTTTGACCTATAGGTGGGGATATTCACATACTTTTGATCAGAGAAAATGGAATGCCTTTTCTGGGATCTGAGACTTAATTCATAATCACCGTTCGCATACCCCTTTCACATAATTCTGCCGACCCCCATAGGCCTGCAGACCACAGGTTGAAAACCACTGTTCTGTTACTTCAGAAAGTGGGCCTATGACTTTCTACCAAACGTTTACGTTATTCAGACATCGGCAAGCAGTATTCAGCTCATCCGTATCACAAAATCATTAGCTGATAATGAATCACAACTGGTAGACAGTACAGAATACAGCATGTTTAGGTGGCAATATAAAATAAAAATAATTGAATTTTAAGATTACCGCATCCCTGTTTCAGATTCCATTACAACAATTTGTTTTGTTACAAAGGGTGTTTTTCTAAGATGAGCCTGATGTTTTCAGGCAAAAGCTCTGTGATTTAACAAAATACGCTACCCAAAATTGCTCTGGATTTGATACATTAGTGGCTGAAGTTTTGGGAATTCTTTGTTTGTGAATCTAAAAGATGGAAAAGACTCTGTCCTTGCCAGTGCAAAAGTGCTTGCCAAACTGTTCTTGCTTATGATCAAAATTAACTTATAAAATTCCAGTGGGTTCATCTGTGAATTTTCTACGTATTTTTCTAGGCTATAGAGAAACTTCCCTTCTTTCAGCCAATATGTTTTATCCGGTCTATAATAGTCTTAAGATCCCAGATATGGCTTCTACCCCATCTCCTATGGAGAGTTGAAGTCAATAGGAGTAGAATTAGGCTAATGCCTTTGAGATCTTTTGAAAGTCCTATCTTACCAGTATAATGGCTCATGATCATATTCAGCCTATATTTTCCTGTGCTTAACTTGATCTGATTTACTCATAGTTACTCTCTCTTACCACCCTAAATAATTTTTGATTTGGTTTTTACACCCTTTAAATACTTATATCTATTTCCTTAATTCACCAAGCTATATCTTTCCTTCATGTTACTTTTCCTGTAACATAAGAACGGCCATACTGGGTCAGACCAAAGGTCCATCTAGCTCAGTATCCTTTCTTCCGACAGTGGCCAATGCCACGTGCCCCAGAGGGAATGAACAGAACAGGTAATCCCAGCTTCTGTCAAACAGAGGCTAGGGACACTCTCCTTGCCCATCCTGGCTAATAGCCATTGATGGACCATGAACTTATCTAGTTCTTTTTTGAATCCTGTTGTAGTCTTGGCCTTCACAACATCCTCTGGCAAGGAGTTCCACAGGTTGACACTGTGTTGTGTGAAAAAACACTTCTTTTTGTTTGGTTTTTAAACCTGCTGCCTATTAATTTTATTTGGTGACCCCCTAGTTTTTGTGTTATGAGAATGAGTAAATAACACTTCCTTATTTACTTTCTCTACATCAGTCATGATTTTCTAGACCACTATCATATCCCCCCCTTAATCGTCTCTTTTCCAAGCTGAAAAGTCCCAGTCTTATTTATCTCTCCTGTTACGGCAGCTGTTCCATAGCCTTGATCATTTTTGTTGCCCTTTTCTGAATCTCTTACAATTTCAATATATCGTTTTTGAGATGAGGCGACCACATCTGCACTCAGTATTCAAGATGTGGGTGTACCATGGATTTATATAGAGGCAATATGATATTTTCTGACTTATTATCTTTATCTATCTATCCCTTTCTTAATGATTCCCAACATTCTGTTAGCTTTTTTGATTGCTGTTGCATATTGAGTGGATGTTTTCAGAGAACTATCCACAATGACTCTAAGGTTTTTCTTGAGCGGTAACAGCTAATTTAGACCCCATCATTTTATATGTATAGTTGGGATTATGTTTTCCAATGCATTACTTTGCGTTTATCAACATTGAATTTCATTTGCCATTTTGTTGGCCAGTCACCCAGTTTTGTGAGATTCCTTTGTAGCTCTTCGCAGTCTGCTTGGGACTTAATTATCTTGAGTAGTTTTGTATCATCTGCAAATTTTGCCACTTCATTGTTTACTCCTTTTTCCAGATCATTTATGCATATGTTGAATAGGACTGGGCCCGGTACAGACCCTTTGGGGACACCACTATTTATCTCTTTCCATTCTGAAAACTGACCATTTATTCCTACCCTTTGTTTACTGTCTTTCAACCAGTTACCAATCCATGAGAGCACCTTCCCTCTTATCCCATGGCAGCTTACTTTACTTAAGACCCTTTGGTGAGGGATCTTGTCAAAGGCTTTCTGAAAATCTAAGTACACTATATCCACTGGATCCCCCTTGTCCACATGCTTGTTGATCCCCTCAAAGAATTCTAGTAGATTGATGAGGCATGATTTCCCTTTTACAAAAAACATGTTGACTCTTCCGCCAACAATTTATGTCCATCTATGTGTCTGACAATTTTGTTCTTTACTATAGTTTCAACCAGTTTGCCTGGTACTGAAGTCAGGCTTACCACCTGTAATTGCTGGGATCGCCTCTGGAGCCCCTTTCAAAAATTGGTGATACATAAGCTATTCTCCAGTCATTTGGTACAGAAGCTGATTTAAATGATAGGTTACAAACTACAGTTAGTAGTTCTGCAATTTCACATTTGAGTTCATTTAGAACTCTTGGGTGAATAGCATCTGGTCTTGGTGACTTATTACTGTTCAGTTTATTAATTTGTTCTAAAACCTCCTCTAATGACACCTCAGTTTTGTAGCTCCTCTCTAAACTTCCTCTAATTTTTCAGTCTTTTTCTGATATTGAGTGCAATAATGCAGATGCAGTCTAACCAGAGTCCTATATTGAAGAATTGTCCCTGCCACCTTTCACAGAATGTCTGCACAGAATTTTGTTGGACTCTCTTCCTGCTGTATCAAATGACAGCCACTATTATCCTGGTCTCTTTCACTATGACTCCTCAGGTTGCCCCCCTCAACTGAATAGTTAAATTTTAGATTTTCTTCCAATTGTATTAGCTTGCATTTTTCAAGTTAAATCTCACATTATTTTCTACCCGTATGTTTAATCACTCTGTTCCCTTTATAATATTTCTCTGCTTTCACTAATGTTTACAACAATTCTCAGTTTAGTATTGTCTGTGAATGATACTTATGTTTACCATTTGATTATTAATGATGATAAATGAGGCAGGATTCTGTTAGATATGAAGAACAAGTACTGAAGTAGCTGAACCTTCAGTGCGTTTTATATTGGGGGGGGGAATGCTCTGTTTATACTTTATTTAAATAGAGTAAATTTATTTTATAATGTTACTATAGCATGCATTTCTGGATGTCCATTCTAATAAATCAGTGGGACTGCTCACAGTAGTAATGTTAAGAATATAGGTAAGTGTCTGCAAGACACCGAAGAAATCTGGCATAAATTGCTGGGGGGGGGGGGGGTATTTTCCCTTTTTATTGGCTGAAAGAAGAGAAGTTTCTGTATAATTGGGAGACAGTTACATATTTTCTATTTTATAAAAATACACAAAGCTCTTTATAAACTTATTGTGCTACTGTAAGTTTTCAAATGTGTGGAAGAGACTTGTATGTATGAATGGAAGAGAGTTTTTGAGAAGTATTCAGTTGGTTTAAAGCACCGGTACTATTGAACTAACATTCTATGATTATATGATCACTTTTTTGCATTCTTGTACTATTCAATATTTATGCATCCTAGTTTATGTAATTCTGCCTTTATTCTCCCATGTTTCATGCTAGAAACAAAGTAAATGTGAATCCAAAGAGAGGGCTAGATCATCAGCTGTTGTAAATAAACATGCTCCACTGACTTCAACAGAGCTAGACTGATTGACACCAGCGGAGGATCAGTCACATTAATTAGAAAAATACATAGAAAACTCACATATGAGCCCACTGGTATTTTATAAGTTAGGTTCCGTTCTGATCAAAACTAACATACATATATTTTCACACATGAGCTAGTGTGTGTATATGGTGGTATTATCATAAAGGTTTTATTGGCATGAGGTTGGGATGGCTACCTAACTCATGAGTGGGGATGAGTTATATGAGGCATCCCAAATACGTTCTAATAAACTATTAAAGGTTTTAGAAAGGATTTTTAAAAAAAAAAAAAAATCCTATTAGGACTGTTTGTGTGTCTCCTCAAAGTTCAGGTGCCTTGGTACTATGAAACCAGGATTTGAAGGGACATGAAAATCTGTTACTAGCTGTGAAGCGATGTGAGATACTGGACTTGTTACTGATGGAATATACCAAATGTAATTTTAACTCCCTGCTTTTCCCTACTTCAGGAGAAGGAAGGAAACACTTGAACAGGTTTTTTGTTTTATTGTTAAATGGTAGCTGTTTGGAACATTAAAATTAGTCCTTAAGAAGATGGGCAAGTGCTAAAAAACCCAATTTATCACTTGGGTCTACAGGTTATCACAGAGTTGCAGAAGTAAAGGAGTTTATTTCATGGTTGTCATGAATACCCACGGTATAAATACATGTCATTATTTAATGTCAGTTGCACTGGTTAATTTTGAAATAAATTTGATTTGAAAATAGTATCCACCAAACATTCTTCCCTTTATATTTCTCATTTGTAATTCTTTAGTGCTGAAAGCTGTAATGTAACAGAAAAGAAAAAGCAGTCGCCTCCGACAGATAATCTCTCACCATGGGAAGAATGGTTCATTTGCAAAGAGAGAGAGCTACGTGTCCGCTTACAAGCCAGAGCTTTAGAGGTGAATATTTCTGACTATTTTCCCTTAGATTTGACAGCAGATTAACAGACACTGAATTGCAGGGTTTTTTTCTATTTATTGTGAAAACAAGATATATTTGTTCTTTATCTTTAATGTCTTTAGACATGCTTAGCTTTTGTGTTTGGGTAAACCAGTGTGATTCATGTCCCATGCATTTCTCTTTTGCTAAATGTTATGCTTAATTGGAAATGTGGTGTATATATTTTGCTTATCCAACTGGTAATGGTTCAGGTTTAAAGGATTAAAACATATCTGTGTAATTGGTACCTTGATTTTCCTCATGGTTACATATGCCTGCATTTAAGCAATAAAACACGACAGGGCGTGTGTTGTGTATAGGAACGCCAAGGTACATGGTTAGACATGAGGCATGTTGTTGACAGCCACCTAGGTATGTTGTTATACAACTGTTTGATACCTCTTCCCAGAGTATTCACAATAAGTGCTTCCCACCCCAGAATTTCTTTTCCTTTATCCATCTGTTGTTTTCTTATAAATAACCTACTCCTGAATAGTAGGACTGTGGCAGAATTAAGTGAGCCACCTTTTCCTAATTGGTGTGTGTGCAGTCCTGTTGGTTAAGCTTTATTAGCATTTACAATCACGTTGGGGAAGCATATCATAATGGTTAAAGCAATAGAATCAAAGCTGGATCACTGGGTTCATTTCTAACGTGTGCCACTGGCTAGTCACGTACCTTGAGCAAATGTCAACCTCCCTGTGCTACATTTTCTCCATCTGTAAAATGAGTATAACATTCACCACAGGTGGTTTTTTTGTGGCTTAACTCATTGGTGTTTGTGAAGTACTTGCAGTCTTCAGCTGGAAAGCTCTAGAGAAGTGTTCTGTGTTGTGTTAAAGGTCAATGGAAACCTAAAATCACTTGGTAAACTCCAGGAATGTGTTCTAACTTCCCTAACTTTCAGCACATATTTTGGACTTCCTTTTAGATTTTAAGTTGGCACTCCTCTCTTCTCCCCACTCCATTCCCCCCCCCCCCCCCCCCCCCCCAAAAAAAAAATTTTTGATCCAAGCTAATTTCTGGTAGTATGTAGGAAAAATGTGATTCATATATAACCTTTACTCATCAAGACTGGATCAGAACCAAAGTAGTTTACTTCTATATGCTTGAAACAATGGAATGTTTATATAGTACACAACTTGGAATGTCTCACTGTGTTTTAAATGGATTTTAAAAATTAGTGACCTGGTAAAAATAGTACATAGCAACAAAGAAAACAATAGCACGGGAAAAAACAAAATTCTGAATTTAATTAATTTAAAATAGTTCTATAAATATTAGACATTAGGAACCTTCACTTTCCTAACACTTGCAATGATTTTGATTAAAAACTTCTTTGTAAGAAGAGAAAAGCACATCTGTTTTTAAAATCTCACATTAGATTTTTTTAATAGTGTTAGACTAAGATCCTGAGAAGCGTCCGTGTTTTTTTTTTTTTTCTAGAATGAGTGACATTAAAACTATCCTAAACAAAGGGAATATGTAGAAAGTGATTTGGAATGGATGTTTCTTTCAGCATATATCTTCTAGGACAGAGGTTCTCAGCCTTTTTCTTTCGGAGGCCCGCCCAGCATGATATAAAAACTCCAAGACCCCCTGGGGGGCACCAGGGTTCAGGGCTTTAGTCCCGCAGGGAGCTGGGCTTCAGCCGAGTGGCCTTATGGCTCCCCCAGGGGCTGTGTGGACCCCTGGTTGATAACCACTGTCCTAGGACTCTTTTGGGTATCACTCTAACAGAGGAACATGCCTGCAGCGCAGATTCCTCAGGTCCTTAATGAGGTGGTAATTGCCTGGCTCTTGTTAAAATACATCGCTAATTAATTTTTTAAACAATGACTATATTGTTTTTTCTTTGGGGCTCTTACAAAAGTTAGGGGCAAATTATTTTTTATCTGTATTAACTTCAAACCCAAGAATTGCCACTGGAAATTGAAATTCTCACTTGAAAATTGATTGTAATATATGGACCATAAAAATTTGTGTTGGGGAAATAACTATATAGAAAGAATAATACAGACTCTGTAATATTTTCCATAATATAAACAATTCATTTAAAAACATGAAGTTTCATTCTAGCCTTTCTGGCGATGACAATAAACTTGACAAATTTACACTGAAATCTTGTTCACACCTCCTGATCTGACTTGCTGCAATCTGACTGCAGAATAAACTCTTTGGACTTGATTATAAACCTCCTTTTCCACCCCCAACCTGTCCCCACACTACTCCTACTCAGTCCTCCTGGCAGGATATGAGTAACTCCCACCAACTTGTGTCCTGAGGAGAGAGACTCAGAACACCTACTTCCACATGAGTATGGGCTTGATCCAAAGTGTATTGAAATCAACAAATCCTTCCAATAACTTCAGTGGGCTTTGGGCTTCCACGAGGCCCTTACATTCCTGTAATGCTATCACTGATAGAAACGCACAACTGCTGAGCGACATGCCATCTACCTCTGAATCGCCTTGGTTTTTGCAGTTAGGTTTACCATGTATGTTCCTTTACCATGAAAGTCCTGCCACAATGTGTGCAGATGGATGAAGAGGCAGTTAAATAAGCTGAGATAGCAGAGTTCATTTTGCTGTTTGACTCTAAATTAATGGAAACATTTTCAGCTCATAGAAACTGAAATATTCCTCAAGGATTTTTCCTTCTTTGCTTGCTCTCCCTCCTCCCTGACTTTTAACCCTCTCTGAACTATGGAAAACTTTTGGGAATTTCCTACCATATTTAACACCACCAACATTAGCAGCTTTGAAAGTGCTAGTGTAAATGGGCTGTCACGACTGTTTTAAATTCTAGCCCACCTAATTCTGCTCAGAACAGCTGTAACTGAAATGATGTTTAAAATGTTAGCATCAACCAGCACCCTGTCTGCGTTAGGCCATCCACTGCTGGTGCATTTTGGTGCAGATTTACATTGGCCCTATGTCTTCTGTAAACATTACGGAATTGGTCATGTAGAAATTATATATTTGACAGCCTTTGTAACTGCAAGAAATTTGAAGCAGTTTCTACTGGGGAAAAAATCACTAGAACTCTTGAACTGGTACCAGTGACTTTCAATGGTGCCAAGGCATACATATGAAAGAATTGATTTCAGAAAGTGGTGCTTAGCAGTGACTAGTGTCTTATTGTCAACCAGTAATGTGCATATCTGAAAAACTATTTTCTGCACCTCCTTAAAAAAAAAATATTTTTTTTTTAAAGAATTGCTTGTCACTTTAAATTTTATATTATATAAAAGGAACTGAAATTCTTTATGATAAGCTAGTTCTGGGAATCACTGCAGCTTAATGATTTTGTTAAATCTGAATTTTATACATTTCAAATGACTTTGGCTTATATTTGAAAATAACTTATGTGTGTAAATTTGTTTTAATTAGGAAATGAATTTACAACTGGAGAAAAGAAAAGAAAAGCAGGAGCTTGAAAGGAAAAAAAAGATTGCTGAAGAGAAACACAAGGAATGGGTGCAGCAAAAGAATGAAGAGGTAAATACTGCATTAATTCAAAATACTCAAATATCCAGTAATTTAATTAAATCGGTCCTTTTTTCTCAGACTCTTCAAGCATCCATATTTCTTTCACTAATTGAGCACACATTTTAATAGGAAACTTAAAAAAAGCCCCACCCCCCTGAAGTTCAAGACTGTATCCCAAAATGTTCTGTGGCTCACTCTTGCTGTAATTGATAAGGGAAATTTGTATTTGAAAACTCAGAAGATTAATGGCTAACCTGACTGTTCTGGCACATTACCCTGCTCTGTCCCTGTGTTTTGTTTTTTTGATAAAGTGTCTCACTTGCTGAGTGTCTAGGACCCCATTACAAAAGAACTTCAGGAGAGCATATGCGTTAATTATATGCAATATATGGTGCAGTTAGTAGAGCAGAGCCAAGAAAGATTTAGATAAGTATCAGGGCAACCAGGCAAATCACATGTTTGTTCTGCCTTGTGGAATTTATAGGAGGCCACTTACACCTGACCTGAATCTTGAAGTGAATCAACAGTAAGTCAATTTGTGATGGAGTCATTAGCTTGTCCAGTGACCAGTAATTAAACTTTATTTTTCTGGACTTCTGGGTATCCACAGGTATGGCCAGTGCTGAGTTTAAAAATATATTTTTGTCTTTGTCCATTAAATTGTCTTTAGCATCCATTGTGGATGTGCTTATGTCCAGAGGCCCCGTACAGAAGGTATAAAGGGCAGATCAGGCCCATCCATCCCACAGTCCCTTCTCGCTGCCCATGGCTGCAAGATGGCGCCACTGCAATGTCCATGTTTCAACATGTTTCCAAAACTTTTGTGTATACGTTTGTTAAGTAAATAATGTTAGGATTAGTAATGTGTAGTATAGTGTGCCTGTTGGCAATTTTAAGTGTAATTTTTTTTTTTCTCTGACTCTGGGAGTAAATTTTCCGCAGTACCAGGATTTATGGCTTATCTACACTACTACAGCGGCATAGCCGTTTAACGCGCATAGCATGGGCGCGGACTACAGCAACAGAGGGGTTTTTCTATTGCTGTCAGAACTTCACCTCCCTAAGCAACAATAGGTAGGCTGCCAGAAGCATTCTTCCCCCAGCCTGCTCCTACATGGGGACCTTTAATGTAGTCCTGGCGCTTTTAATGCGGGACACACTCTTAAGTTCTTGGCAACTCGCTCCTTTCATCACTTATCCATGAAAATGGCTTTTTTGGTGGCAGTCACATCATCCTGGAGAATAGGGGAAATATAAGCACTTGTGGCCATATTACCTAAGGATATAAAGTCACCCTTAAGCCCCCACCCAGATTTTTACAAAAGTAGTCTGATTTTCATTCAGATGAATCATTTGTCAAACTTTTTTCCTATATTACACTCCAGTCAAGGAGAGACTAGACTACATTCTCTAGATGTCCTTTCTACTTAGAGACTCTTCAAGATTGTGGCATTTACAAACAGGTTAAAGTGTCGTTGTTGTTTTTTTTTTTTTTTTTAACCCAGAGACTAAGTTGATGTCTAACTGCATCAAGTTCTGTTATAAGCAGGCCAGTTTAGATTCCCCAGCACAGATTAGGGTTTACTACACAAGGGCTCAGGCAGCTTCTGTGACATGCATGAGAAAGCTCTGTGTGGGGCTTGGTCTATATCAGGGGTCGGCAACCTTTCAGAAGTGGTGTGCCGAGTCTTCATTTATTCACTCTAATTTAAGGTTTTGTGTGCCAGTAATACATTTTAACGTTTTTAGAAGGTCTCTTTCTATAAGTCTATAATATATAACTAAACTATTGTATGTAAGTTAAATAAGGTTTTAAAAATGTTTAAGAAGCTTCATTTAAAATTTAAATTAAAATGTAGAGCCCCCGGGACCGATGGCCAGGACCCGGGCAGTGTGAGTGCCACTGAAAATCAGCTCATGTGCTGCCTTTGGCACGCATGCCATCAGTTGCCTACCCCTGGTCTATATCTTTGTGAGGCACTGAGGTCTGATGCCTCTGTCCTGAAATCTTTTAAATAGACTTCAAACACCCACCTACTTCACATCCGGTTAGTGCTTGTGAGTCACCAGAAGTAGAATACATGTTGACAATGACTAGAAGAAAACTTACTTACCTTACTGTAACTGTGGCTCTCTAATATGTGTTGTCAACATACATTCCAATACCTGTCCTCCTTTCCTGCTACCATGGAATCCTAGAACATCTGAATTTTGTGTTGGTGAAGGAACTAGTTGGGCCTGGTCTCCCGCTTTGTGCCCTCAGTACTGGGCATGAAGGACTTGTGGCATATGCGTCGCCCCAATGGACACTGCTGGACAAAAGATTCTGATCTCAGGGACATGGAGCACATACACTCCAGAAGTGGAATACATGTATATAACACATCTCGAAGAACCACAGTTTGTTTTTTTTCTTGCATTTTAATATACAATACATATCAGTTATGATGTCCCACGTGTGAAATGTAGCACTCTGGTGAAATGGCTAGAAGGTGAAATTTGGAGACTTTTGCTAGCTGGCAGTGAGGGATTTTTTTTTTCCTGTTTTAAAATGATATATAATACCTTACTCAATGGAGACTTCTAGACATTCTTAGTCATCTTGTTTAAATTACTATAGGAAAATAAATAAAGTTAACTTCACCAGTTGGCATGCTTCTGTGTAAACATAATTTGCAATTTTTAGAGGTAGTTTGTGGGTTTAAAAATAACGCTTTATGGCACTGAGCTGTCAAAAAGCACTGTGTTCAGTTGTGAAAGATATTTATATTGACATGAAATTTTGTATTTCAGTAGGAACAAATGCTTAGTATACAGTACTCGTAGGATACTGTGATAAAAGACCTGCGACTTGGCCATGGCTGGTGTCGGTCAGGTGACTTGGGCTTTCTGGGCTATAAAATTGCAGTATAAACGCTTGGGCTGGAGCCTGGGCTTTGAGATCCCCTCTGGGCTTGGCCAGTGGGTGCGTCTAAAACTCTCCATCGAGCTAAAATGGAGACTTGTTTTTCTGTCAAGTTAGTACTGAGTCATTTGTGGGCAGACAGATTATCTATTTAACTTGTGTTGGTTAAGCTGTAGTATGTCTCTACTGCTTACAAAGTCGAAAGAACACAGATCAAAACACACTAGCCTCAAAAACCAACAGAATACTATTTTGAATCCAGTGGAAACATTTGATTGAAATGGAGAATAGCATGATCTCTGTGTGTGTAACAGACACACTTTTCGTCTTGTTTTAGATCTCTGTGTGTGTAACAGACACACTTTTCATCTTGTTTTACTTTCTGATTTATGTATAAAAATACCATAAGGTATTGTGGATTTCCATGTATAAGCAGATTAGTTATGATTGTACACACTCAACAAGCCATTTCAGTGTTAAAATAGCCTTTACTTTAGGGGGAACTGAATGGCACAGGAATTGGAAATAGGTTAACACAGCCATTAAAATCTGATGCAGGTAATTAGAGAGCACTTTTTGCTACAGTTTCTTTCTGGTTTATGTTAGGTATGCGTTTGTCAAGTCCAGTACTGTATATAACCCCCAGTCTCAAATAAAGCTCTCTGAAGGCAGTACTTAGTGGACATGTGCATTTTTTAAAGACATTCTTGTTTGCCATCTCATTAGAGAGGCCTAAGACTTGACAGGGTGTGGAAAACAAACTACTGTCTTATCTCTCCTGGTCAGAGTTAATTTGTGGGGAAACTTGCCTTGCTGTACAGTTATTTGTGTTTTATCTAATTTGTTTTTGTAAATAGAGAACTTGAGTTGGGCCCTTTTCATGGGTCTTAAATTCCCTTTTATTAAAAAGTTTTTCCTTAATTTTAAAGGTTATGAATCTATTAACTTTATTCTTTCTGATAATTCTAACAACTTTTAAAAGGGTAAAGTTTGCTGGCATAGAGAATAATTTATTTTGGCTTGAAACCAATGTAACTCAGACCACTGTTTGTTCAGAATGTATTGCACCATCCATATAAGGAAATTATTAAAACTTGCGGAAGTAAGGCATGTTTTATGAAGTGAATTTGGGACTCAATTTAGTTTCAAGCAAGGATATGGTAAACTTATATAAAGTGTGTGTGTGTGTGTAAATTGTATTGGCTTCTAAATTGCTATAATAATTGTCAGCTTTTTTCATTCAAGTTTATGCCACTGTTCTTAAATCAACCCTCACTTAAATTGTAACAGTCGATATAATGTATTAAGAAGTCACTGTCCAACATCCAACTTTTAGATTCTTTAAATAGCTTGTAGTGATCTAACAACTATGTACACTGTTTATTTCCATTGTTGTTCTACCTGTCAGGACTATTTGGAGGATTAATGAACCCACTTTAGTGATTTGTGTGTTGAAGATGAAAAGCACTCCATAAATGCAGAGACTCCATTCTTCTTTGTGACTTGCATAGAAGATGGCATTTTGCGTTTGTGACTTACCAGGCGCAGACTTGATTAACTAACAGTTATGAGAGGGGTATCCTGCAAATAGGGTTGGCACTGCTTCAGGAAGTTCAAGAACACCTCCTTTGGTGGATAGTTCCTTCCAGGGATCTTGTTCTGTCAACAGAGATGAGAGTACCAGCCTGTGTTGGGGAGTTCATGTGCATCAACAAAGACTTAGTAAGTTCTCATTCATAGCTAACCATCTTTTTATAATATGAGGAGAAAACTATGTTCAGAAATTGTCCAAAAGGATTAGATTCTCAGATCAATTCTGCTATGACCAAGCATAAATTAGCATCTGAGAGCATGATCTCTGTGTGTGTAACACACACTTTTCCTCTTCATTTTACTTTCTGATTTATGTACAAGAAGTGATATTTTAAATAGTTTTTAACTTCTTTGAGGTGGCCTCTGCATATTCCCACTGGGATCAATGGTGTGTTTTTAGAAACATTTTACAAAGCAGTATCTCTTGCGGGGGCAGCATTATTGTTTTGTAACACTGAACTTTCCAGTCCTTATTGTTACATAAGAGAGGTGCAGCCCTAACCACTTCAGTTCCTTTCTTACTTTCATAGACAGTGTAATAACTGCAGGCAGTACTCAGGTCTGAATTGGTCAGACTTTATCTCTAGATAGATTTTAATTAATTTCTAATGGTGTTCATTTTTAGTGTTAGGATAGTTTTTAGTTAGTTTTTGATATTCATCATTTTTGGGTGGAGGAAGGGTTTAAGGTGTGTGTGTGTGATGCTAGGTTTTATGGGGACTCTGTTGTGATGGTGCTCATCCAGGAGCAGAGGAAGTGATTTAAGAAATGCACCTACCCCCCTGGGATTTTATGAGTCTGACACCCACACCAAATACCTTTCATGCCCCTTCTCTCCCCCCCCCCCCCCAGCAGTTTGAACAGACACAATCTGATCACGAACGTGAATCCAAGGAAACTGTGACAGGAATCTGACTACACCTAGTATGAACAAGTTATATATTCTCTGTTTCCCACCATACTCTGTATTTAACTTAGAAACTTTTCATTTACATTTAAATACATTGGACCTGGACTTTGTTGATGAATATTGACTCACAGCAGCTCACTTTTAATCAGATGTTTAATCAGATACTTATGCAACATAAAGCGTTCATTAGTTAACTTCATGCCATCTTGCGCAGTACTCCTCTCAGATGAGTGAGAGTCAATGTTTACGGCAATAAGATAGGGAAAGTAGATGGCTTATCCTTGGGCTTAGTGCTTCATGTGTAAAGCTGATTATATGAAGTCAGCCAGTGAAGAGTTTGGAGGCTGGTACTGCCTTTGTGGCACTTTGCATTCATTTTCAATGGGGAAACCTGTTAAATCTTGTTCAATGGCTCATGACCTCTTTAGCATGCAGTTTCCTAATTATTTCTTTGTCACTGTTAAGGTTCCTTCCCCACTCTGAACTCTAGGGTACAGATGTGGGGACCTGCATGAAAGAACCCCTAAGCTTATTCTTACCAGCTTAGGTTAAAAACTTCCCCAATGTACAAATTTTGTCTTATCCTTGACCCCTATGCTGCTGCCACCAAGCGTGTTAAACAAAGAACAGGGAAAGAGCCCACTTGGAGAAGTCTTCCCCCAATATACCCCCCCAAGCACTACACCCCCTTTCCTGTGGAAGGTTTGATAAAAATCCTCACCAATTGGTACAGGTGAACACAGACCCAGACCCTTGGATCTTAAGAACAATGCAAAAGCAATCAGGTTCTTAAAAGAAGAATTTTAATGAAAGAAAAGGTAAAAGAATCACCTCTGTAAAATCAGGATGGTAAATACCTTACAGGGTAATTGGATTCAAAACATAGAGAATCCCTCTAGGCAAAACCTTAAGTTACAAAAAGACACAAAAACAGGAATATACATTCCATTCAGCACAGCCTATTTTACCAGCCATTAAACAAAAGGAAATCTAATGCATTTCTAGCTAGATTACTTACTAACTTTTTACAGGAGTTCTGACCTGCATTCCTGCTCTGTTCCCGGCAAAAGCATCACACAGACAGACGGACCCTTTGTTCCCCCCCGGCTCCAGCTTTGAAAGTATCTTGTCTCCCCATTGGTCATTTTGGTCAGGTGCCAGTGAGGTTATCTTAGCTTCTTAACCTTTTACAGGTGAAAGGGTTTTTCCTCTGGCCAGGAGGGATTTAAAGGTGGTTACCCTTCCCTTTTATATTTCTGACAATCACTCATCAGTGTTAACCTCCCAAATCTGCAAACTTTAAGGGGAGGTGGGAAGGGAGTAAGAATCCAGTAAAAGTCTCTCCAGAGAAGGAGCATTACAAGGGAAGTAAATTTCCCTTCACTATTTCATCCATGGATACTTTTAACATTGATCAATCTGATCTTCAGTTTACAGACCAAAGAATGCCTCTCTCTCTCTTTAAACTCATGATCCCTTAGAAGGAATATAGATTTCTTATCAATTGTCAGTCTGGTTCACAAGTACATTTTGCATATGAAAAATCATGAAGTGTCATGAAATATCAGTCTGTTCTCATTAGAGCCATGTTCTTTAAAAAAGAAATTAGATTTCCACATCAGTTCACACTCTGGCATTCAGACAAACCACAAATCTCTGTGGCTCCAAGTCAAAATGGTAAAGATTTGGGTCTAGGAGATTCACTGATAAAATTGCTACTTCATTAATAACTATTATACAGTTTTAAATGTGCCATTTATTCTTTATTTATTATTCAGTGTAATGTTATGTTTGGAATGTGTGTTTTATTTGTTTAGTTTTCTTCTATAGTAAACATAAAATATTACAGTGAGTGTTGAAGTTGGATTTCACTTATATTTTATGCCAACCTTATGCTTTAACACTATTTTATCTCCAAAAGGTGATGTCCAGCTGCTTTTCTCAAACCAAAATTCTAAACTGTTGCAACAGTGATTTCTCCAGCTTGTACCAATTCTACTTGGAGTTAATTCCTACACAGTTAGCTAACCCCTTTTCATTATAATGAGGAGCCAATAATGACCTTTTGAAAATACTGAAAAGACTGTTTCTTTGACCTGTTTCATGTAGGAAAGAAGGGAAAAGGAACGAAAGCTCATCAAAAAGATGGCAGAAAAAGCAGTGAGAGATCTAGAGAGAATCCAATTGCAGGAAAGAGCTAAAGGAAAGTATAAAGAATGGCTAAAGAGGAAAAGAGCTGAAGAGTCTGAGAAGAAGAAGAAAGAAGAGGTAGAAATCATTCATCTTTGATACCAGCTTGTTAGGCCTGTTACACATGGAGTGGCCTTGTTTTGATTAAATTAACATTAGTAAAAAAATTTATACACACAGTATGGAAGCCCTTCTTGTGGTTCCATACTTAAGACTGAGATGAGTTTCAGTTTAAAGCAGGAATTTAACTACTTTAATACAACATATTCTTGAAATTACAACACTTAGTCTTTGCCACTGAATGAATTTTCTGAGAATTTATAAATAAAGCTGTTAATTAGTTGACTTAATTTAAAAAATTGGTTCTTTAAGAAATTTATAGCCTGTGTCAGAGCACTTTTATGACCTGAATGATCTTAATAATGCAGCCCCGTCCAACTTCTCACATAATTAAAACTCATTGAAATCTTGTGCATTGGCAAAGTTTCAAGACTTTTTTTTTTTTTAAGGATAAATGGTCATTTTCTTGCCACTCTTTGTAACTGAAAATTTCTCCTTCAGCAGGGCCTGATAAATATTCTTCTACAGAAAATTCCACAAAGAAATGCCCTCTTTCAAAATGTCAGCAATTTCCTATTATTCTCACTGGGAACAATGCAACTGAGCTGTCACTATCTTTATTAGAAATCATCAACAACAAAAAACAAACAAAAAAAGGGCCCTCTTTGAAATGGCCACCATCTCCAGTTGTTCCCAGTAGGAATGAAGTCAAGCTACCTTCAAGGAAGGTAGTGTCACCCTTACTTTCAGGGACAACAGTCTCCTTGAGTACATCTTAAGGCTGGCAGAGCTTTGTGGTTCTGTCATTTTTAATAAGGTGCAAAGCTACAGACTGCAAATACCAGCAAAAATCTCTGGGGGAGATTTTTACAACTATTTCAGAGCCAAGTACTTTTGAAAACTTGAAATATTCCAGTTAATCTTTTAGTGATTTGCAGGATTGATGTCAGAGATACTTGAGAAAACTGAGAGCTCATAGCAAGAAGGAGAAAAATAATTTGTTTATAAAAATTTGATTTATACTTAAACAAAAGGCACTTGACTTAATGAGTGCGGTGGGTTTTTTATTATAACAAACTTGTAAACCCTCTGCCTACCAAGTAATTTCTTCTAGACTTATTTATGGCAGCAACCTATGCAGCTGTGGGTGAGATTCTTAGCGGCTTAGCGCAGAGGCACAGCACGGAACTTGTAGGAAATCATCTTTGCACTGTCCTAATCCTGGACTTCTCCAGGTGTTAGAGAGTACCTTGGAGTAACTTAAATATTGCTGGGGACTGATCTAAGTTTGGGAGCCTCTCTGGGCTGCAGTACTATCCAGAATATCTGTGGTGCTGTGAGTTATGCCCCGCTACACTAGGGTTTGTAAAAAGGTCCTGAGAAGGTAGTTTATGGCTTTCTTCTACAATACTTACGTTGGGGGAAATCTTCCCTCAGCTGCTTATGGGCTTTTAAGATCTCTTTACACTGCTGAACCCTTCTACCCAGTGTAAAGGAGTTGAAGGAAGGTAAGGATCTCACCCTGGCTCACTTGATGGTAAATGTTTCCATTCTTTAACGTGTTAGAGTAAAGACTTGCTCATTGTCTTTGGGGTGGACAAATATAGTCAATCCATTTGCAGTACTGCTATGTTTACTGTTGTATCTTGGTCATCGGTGAACCCAGACTGAATAGTAATTTGATACTAAATCATTTTAAATATTAGAGACTTCTAATTGGATGGGAGTACAAGGCCTAGGTCTCATGTTAAATTATTTTATGCAGCTGGATGATGGAGCAAATTAGTCTTTCTACCACAGTGAGCCTTGTTGGATGGCATATTTTCCCCCTTTGCACTTGCCCACCCCAAATGATATCCATGGGACAATGATTTATTAGCAGCTGCATAGAAATAGTAGTGTTTGTGTGTATGTGCATATTCATTCAATGATCAAGTTTATTTTTGGACAACAGTCATAAAGCAGACATGTTCTACAGGTTTCACTTGCACAAGTATTTAACTTGCACAAAAGCTACTTAACATTGGCCATATCATTTGGGAAATTATCATTTTTTTCAGTCTCTGAACCTTAGGGTATTTGCTTGTTGACTGTGCTACGGCAAATGAATACACAACAGATATCTTTCTACACGATGACGACAGTTTTATCCTGAATGTGACTAAGTAGCAAACACTGATGCTGTTGCAAATCATGACAAAATACACATAACTTCATTAGCCAAAAAACTTGAAACCTTTTAAAAGTGAAGTGATCTGTTACAAGTAGCTGCTGAACATTATGATAGAAGTTTGGTTGTAGGGAAATGACTTGTAGTAGTAAAGAACTTTTGCATATCTTCTACAGAATTCTGTCTCTGGACATTTTATTTTTCTTCACTTTTAGGAAAAGGAACAAAAAAGGGTAGCTGAATTACAGGAGAAAAAAGAGAAATCAGAGAAGATCTTTAGAGAGTGGCTACAGCGTGCCAGAAGTAAACCCCGCCCAGTTTTACACAGTTATGGCTATACCAATGGGAAACTTTCAGGTTTGTACTTGGTACTAGACACATACCATGGTGTCTATGTAAATATTGTGGCAATGTCAGGCTTCATAGTGTCTTTTTTCCAGTTTATTTAAATGGAAGTTTAATTTGACATTCTCATCCTGAATCTAATATTGTCACATTAGTGAGTAGATAACAGATACAGTATATTACAGATATATTGCAAATGTAATACCTTTTTGCACTATAAGGACTGTATTGAAATATGCATTTTATACTCATTCAGAATTATTAGACAACAAGGATCTTGTGGGGTTTTTTGTTTTGTTTTTGGTTACTGTGCATTTTCATCCACTTTGGATAGTGGAATTCAGTGATGTCATGAGAGATGGAGAAAGGAGAAGAGAGTGGGACACAATTAAGGGTAATGGAATGAAAATCAGAAAAGGAAAAGTTTGAGGCTTCTTATTGAGAGAACCTTCCTGATGGTACCCCTTTGTGCCCACTTCATGGTTCCTAGATGGACTGTGAGGCATAGAGTGGCATCACCACAGTCCAGCATGCTCTGCTGGGTAGATATCCTATGTGGACAACCTCCCAAAGTTAATGGTGCAAAAAGCAGCTTAATGTTCTCACTGCATATGCAGCCTTCTCAGAGAAGGGTGTTTTGTGGAGGTGGTGGAGCCAGTGGGAGTATAACTCCTAAAGGAGGTCTGGCAGAAACCTGGCAGGTCATCCCCACGCAGAGCCAGCCCTTCTTTACAAGTCCGGAGATCCACATGGAGCCCATGCTCTTGTCCACCTCCACAGCCCTATTCTTCATTGTCTTCCTGCTCTGAGGGAAGTATAAGAGGAATGTCCATGATAATCACAACATGGAGTTTCCTGGGCCTCTGTCTTCAGTTTCTGTGGGGTTGTGGGGGCAGGAGGAAGGACAAAATGGAAAACTGTTACAAATGGGGATGTTGTATTATAAATGTGAGGCCTTAATGGATATTGAATATATACTTCCTTTTTCTTAATTGTGTGCATTTTTCCTTAAATTATAAATCACTGACGATATATTTTAAAACTTAAAATATTTTTTGACAGGGAGACTACCGATCTCTAAGATATGAACACAAAACAGCTCACACACCAGACACACAACCAGTTGCTCTTTGGCTAAGTCTGATTTTTAGATGGTAATACATACTGCTTTCAAGCTTTGTGTTGGAATCTCATAACTTGCTGACAGCTGGCATCCCTTGTCTAAGTGATTTATTAAAAATAATTCTATACCCAGTTTAGTTCACACAAAAGAACATGTTCCAGACTTTGTTTTGACCACCCTGGTGATGTATGTGTTGAAATTTCATTACAGACAAAGTGGCTTGCCATTGCAAGGGTAATACATTCCTGTTGTCATGGTTCAGGCTTCATGGTTTGGCACATAGATCATTAATTGCAGATAGTGAATGTTTTTTCACTTGTTTGAAGAAGGGTAACAATTAAGCAAAGATTGAAATAGAAAGGTGAATTCCAGAGACAAGGCTGTGGGAAACACTTAATTTATAAGTTTGAAAATAATACCAAATGGTAACTTCCTAACCGTGTACATGCTCCTTTAATGTTTGCCTTGACAAGCATTGTTTTCGTTATACAGTATTTGACATATTTATGTTGCTGTTCTTTAAAAATACAAACGGGGGATGTACTGACTGGATGAATTCAGGAGTGGATGACTGATAGCCATCAGTAGAGACTGATAAATTGTGCTAAACTGTTACTTGCCATGTTCCATTAAAGATCTTAAAGCTATTCTAAATGATACTGTTTATAATCAAGTTATTTAATTTAGCCCAAGAAAGAATTGCTAGTGAGGAAATGCCTCTGGTTAATCCAAAAGTTATCCAATACACTTCAATTTTTTATTGTGTTTTCAGTATAAATATTTCTTCTTTTTCTAATTGTTTGTGTTTTCTAAATATTTTAGGATACCCTGATGGAAATTCATATCCAGCTCCAGCCTATTGTAACCCTATTCCCTGGAAACCAATTCATGTGCCACCTCCTAAGGAAGACCAGAATGTTACAGTGAAAAAATATAAGAGACCTATATCCAGTCAGTCATATAGATCCTCATCTATGGTAATCCATAAGCCCAAGAACAATCTTTGTATTGGATCATTGCACAGAAAACAAAGATAGTGTAGGAAGCAAAATAACTTTGTTTATTAGCTTGATTTAACTAGGTTTTAAAGTACAAAAGTTATTTCTTGGTTAAGTGTTTCTTTAAATGTTAAAAATACAGTGTTGAAAGACACAATTTTATCATCTTTTAATAGTTATCATTTAATGTTAGCTAAGGAATATCTTTTCCAAAGACTTTTAAACTGTTATTTTAACACTTAGAAAACTATCTTCCAAAAATTTGTGAACCAGTTTTTTTAGTTTATTTTTAAAAAATATATATGTAGCCAGTTATATTGAAACCACTCTTTGATATCAATAAAACATTAGTGATTAGTTTTTGAGAGTCTTCATAGAGGGTGTGGTGGGGTGTTTTTTTTGTTTGTTTTTTTAAAATGTGTTTTCAGTGGTTAGTTGGGCTATTATGCTCATTGTTTTAAACATGCCAGGTGCAGCAAATTTTGACAGGTGGTTTATTGGGGGAGGAGTAGGCGGGGGGGGGGAGGGAAGAGATAAGGGGGAATGGAACGAAACTTCATTTCCCAGACTCAAACTTTATGCTACAGTAGGAAATATACCAGTACTTATTTACAAACTAAACAGTAAGTATTACAGAACCAACATGGGACCCATTACACATATTACAAATTCAGTGTTGTGTTAACCAGTAAATGTATTATATGAGTTATACTTCCCTAGACTCTTTGATTGATTGCCAAAAAAAAAAACAATTGCGCTACCCCCACATAATAATTCTGCTTCTTTTAAAGTAAAATTATTCTTTGTGGATCGTAATTGTAAAAATAGTAGTCAACTTCAGCTCCTTTCTAGCTGATGGAGGGAAAGAAAGCTTTTTAAACTTTTATTTGGAGAACACACAAGTTGTAGTTTACAATGAACTGAGAGGTTTTGGGTTTTTTTGCCTTTTAAAGAAGTTAGTTTATACAGTATACTTGTAAGATAATATTTTCTAGATAAGGCCAACAGCCTAAGATGCTGCATTCCACTGTCGGCAATGTCTACACTGCCACTTATATCGGTATAGTTTACGGTGCTCAGGGGTGTGAATAGTGCCCTGCCCCCCAGTGACATAAGTTACATCAACTAAGCGCTGGTGTGGACAGCACTATGTCGGCAGGAGAGCCCTGCCACTCATTGGGAGTGGATTAATTAAGTTGACAGGAGAGCTCTCTCCTGTTGGCTTTGAGTGGCTGCACTACAGGGCTTACAGCAGTGCAGCTGCACCACTGTAAGCTTTCTAGTGTTGCCATAGCCTTAAAGAGTGGTGTCTGATGGCTTTGTGAAAGATACATGCTTTAGGACAGTAAGCTGTTGCTAGAGCAAATAGATATTTTGTTACAGTTTGTCAAATGATTTAACATGTGTAAACTTGTTTCTTTGTATGATGTCTAAAACAAATGTTCACAAACTCCTTCTTGTTCATTTGTTTTTTAAACAGTGTGGAAAGTTTTCCTGAAACCCATTTAATTTGTCTGTGAAACTTAAATAGAATCGTGGACATAAGTTTTTCTTTACAAAAAATCAAAATTTTAAAAATGAATTGCTATAGAGTGCAATGACTTTTATTTTAGGGAATAAATGCTGTTTTTTGTATGGGAGAGACAAGATGGGTAAGGGTAATACCTTTTATTGAAACAGTTTGTTTGTGGAAGGGATAATATTTTGAGCTTCACAGAGTTCTTCAAGTCTGGGGAAAGAAATCAGAGTATCTGAGCTAAATACATGTTGGGACGGATCGTTAAGGATTATGGGTAATGCATGTTGTAGGCGGTCATTTGAAATGAAATGGGCAACTGAGGATTAGATTGTGTCCAATAAAAGATATTACCTTGTCTCTCTAGTATCCTGGGACCAACATGGCTACAACAACACTGGAAACATATATTTGTATTACCGTGGCATCTGGAGGATTGGGGGGGCCCCCTTAGGCTAGGCACTGTACATGGTACGAGCCTATCCTTGCCCTGAGGATTTATCATCTAAATTGACAAACCAGATAAAAGGTAGGAAAGGAAACAAAGGCTCAGAGAAGGTGAAGTGATTTATCCAAAGTCAGACAGAGTCTGAGACAGGACTGACTCCCAGCCCAGACCTCTGTCCACTAGACCAAGGGCTCCCAAACTGTGGTACGTGTACCTCTGAGGGGTATGTGGGAGAAAGTGTAAAATGGTGGATTTTATTTATTATTTATTGCATTTTCATAATAGGCTACTCAGACAAAGCTTTAAAACTCTGTTATATAAAATATGGTGGTTAATTTACTTTAAGATGTACCAGTGAGAACACAGAGATGCTGACTAGAGCCCTCGTGTACAATCACCATATAGAGCAGGTTCGGTTGCCCACCAGCTGTCCAGTTTAACTGAGCTCAGAACTTATGTGGTTTTTTCGCTTGTAAACATCACACTATAACTACATCTGTATGAAACTGTGAAATATGAACAGATGGTGTTAAGAAGGTAGTGTTAAGAAGAACACACAAAGTATCTGTGATGAGAAGGGTAAGGTTACCCAGGCAGCTGATAGATCCAGAAGGGGATACACAAGAAGAAAAGTTTGGAAACCTCTGCACTAGACTATCCTGCCTCCCAATAATTTTTCTAAAAATAAAATATTTCCTTCTGATAAATCAGCAGTGGTTTATTTTACCAACTCCATTTTTAACCAGGCAGCTAAAAAGAACATGCCTCTAAGATTTTAAAAATTCTGTTTCCCTTGTGCAACAGCATTATTAATAATATCAATACAGATCTATGACTAAACTTAGTATTCTTCTTCGAGAGATGTCTCTGTGGGAGCTCCACTTCAGGTCAAGGTGCGTCCCAGTGCCTTCGACTGGAGATTTCTACAGCAGGACCCCTACGGGCTGTGCATGCGCTTTGCCTGCCTCTCGAGCTGTCAGTGTTCTAATAGCACGTGCACAGCCCACGCTCCTAAGTTCCTTCTCTACCATCCCTGGCTAGAGACGGAGTTCAGCAGTGCTCTCTGAGATTAGCTAGTTAGTTTGTTTCTCAGTTTAGTTAGATAGTTTGTCATTCGAGTTACTACTTAGATAAGTCACATTTAACTGTTACATTTATTTATTTGTGGGGGTGGGAGACGACCCTCTGTGGTTTCGGACATGCCTGGTTCCCCAGGCTTCAAGAGAAGCATCTCCTGTAAGGATGCCATCCCCCATCTTGGATGGGCATTCACAGTGTGTATGCTGTTTGGGGGAGTCTCATGTACCCCCAAAATGTGTCCACTGTAACAAATTGAAAGCGCGAACTCTCAAGGACAGGGAGCTCAGAGTTAAAATGTTGCTTCTGGAAAACTCCCTCAGACCTGCGTCTGACCTTGGCCAGCAAACCTCTGTGACACCCTCCAGAGGCAAAGAGAAAGCAAAAAAACAGCTAGCTTCCTCTCCCCTCAGCAGCTGTTCCTCAGGGAAAAATTAAAACTGGCTGTCCGGTCTCTGCTAACTCTGGCTGAGCACCTTCAATGCGGCAGGCTCCTCAGGTACCGACCGTGAGTCGGCTGCCCCACTACACAGTGCCAAGGTTCAGGGTTTCCAGTTGCCCGCCTCTTCAGCTCTCCTTCGGCCATCTCTGTTACTACGGTGCCGACAGTACAAGTGGCGGCTGCTGCACCATCCTTTGATCTTGTGGCTCCACTTTTCCAGCAGCCGCTCTCAGCACCAACCGCCCTGAGCTCTCCAGCCTCCCTTGCAGTGCCTACCTCAGGGGCTCCTACACCGGCACTGACTCCTGGTCAGTCAACTCCACCACAGTTTTTACAGCCAGAGGAATTAAGGGTGACTCATGCTCCTGACTCTCCTCGGCGCCAGTCTCTCACCGAGACCTTTAGCATCCTACCTTCAATACTCCTCTACTACTTCAAGCCCCTCCAGTGAAGTGTGGGAGGAAGAGGAATACGATGAACAGATGCTTTCCTCTCAATACTCTCCCCAGATTCAGTTACCCGCAACTGGGAGATGCGTTACAGCATGATCTCCATATCCTCATGGCTATCCACACTGGTATGACAATCCCTGGATGGGACCACCTATGCCCCCCACCACCACCCCGCCAGGGCAATGGCCACACTGGGGCTCATGGACCTACAACACACCATACTCGGGTGTTCTGCGGGCTCCCGGGAGGAAAGCTGTCAGACCCTCCACACTGCCGGTTTACACTGAAACCCAGATAAGACCTGAAGTGGTCGCCACCCCTGCAGAGGATACTGCACCGCACACCTTTACTGCCATAACAGCACAAGACCATGGTACCCCCACCACCACCGCCATTACTGATGAGCTCACTCACTTTCAAGAGTTGTTTGAGAGTAGTAGAGGAGCTCAAGATTACCCTGGAGGAGGTACCTGAAATACACCACGAGCTTAAGGACATCCTGCAAGCTACGATCTCCTCCAAAATAGCCCTACCAATTAATGGGGCCATTATGGAACCTGCTAAAACTATTTGGCAGACCCCACCCACAATAACCCCCACTAACAAGAGACTGGACCACAAATATTTTGTCCCATCTAAGGATTCTGAGTTTCTATTTATGCACCCCTCACCTAATTCGCTAGTGGTCGACGTGGCCAATCAGAAAAACAAATATTGGCACTTCCAGTCCACTCCATCGGACAAAGATAACAAGAGTCTGGACTTCTTGGGCCGCGAAGTGTATTCTTCTTCCACTTTGCAATTTAGAGTAGCGAACTATGCGGCGCTCTTAGCAAAATATGACCACAAAAATTATGCTAAGGTAATGCAATTTATTGATGATGTGTCGGACAATAAACGACAACAGTTTAAAGCAGTAGTGTTCGAGGGCCAATTGATCTCCAGGACAGCTCTTCAAGCCACCCTTGATGCTGCGGACGCAGTGGCCAGATCCATGGCCATCGTCATGCGGTGGGGCTCATGGTTTACTACTTCCTCCTTTCC